TGCAGCATCTTCACCCCTTGCAGCACCTTCTCCCCCTGTGCCATCCTTTTCCCTTGCAGCATCCTCAGCCTTTGCATCCCCCTCTCCCCTCACAGCACCCTCTCCCTTTGCAGCATCTTCACCCCTTGCAGCACCTTCTCCCCCTGTGCCATCCTTTTCCCTTGCAGCATCCTCAGCCTTTGCATCCCCCTCTCCCCTCGCAGCACCCTCTCCCTTTGCAGCATCTTCACCCCTTGCAGCACCCTCTCCCCTCGCAGCATCCTTTTCCCTTGCAGCCCCCTCTCCCTTCATGTCCCCCTCTCCCTTCACAACACCCTCTCCCCTCGCAGCACCCTCAGCCCCTTGCAGCATCTTCACCCCTTGCAGCACCTTCTCCCTGTGTGCCATCCTTTTCCCTTGCAGCACCCTCATCCTTCTCATCCCCCTCGCATGCCCCTCTCCCCTTGCCAGCGGGCCACCTTTGCAGGCACCAGCCCTGAGGAGCTGCTGGGCTCAGCAGTGCCATGCTGTGCTGGGAGTCCCCTCCCAGCTCAACGAGGCAGAAGACCCCGCTCAGCGGGCGCAGGAGCCCCCATCTTCCTCAGAGGTCACCCGGCAGCTGGAAATGGGTCCAGCAAAGGGGCCCCGATGCTGCTGGCAAGCAAGAAATCCTGCCCCCAACCAACACTGCCTGTTTTACCACCCCACGGTGTGTTTTGAGGGGACAATCTGCACATCTGGGCTCTCATCTTATGTGATGGAGCTGGTGGCACACGTGCAGTGGTGGGAACAAAATGCCAGCAAGGGGAAAAAAAAAAAAAAAGACATTTACTTCTCCCAGCCCCACCAGAGGCCCTTCGGCTTGTAAAACCCCTGGCGTCGACAGGTCGGGGAAATAGGAGTGATGGGAGTGGGGAAAGAAAGGCTTGAAGAAGAAGCAAATGTTTGAAGAGGTTGGAGAAAACACCCCCCCCCCCCCAATCGTTAAGTGCTGCTTGTAAATTATTCATGGACTGGTAAGAGAGGCGCAAATCTATTCAGCGAGGGGGCAGAAGGGTAGAGAAAACATGGTTAGGCTGAGCCCAGTGTAAACCTCAGCCTAAGGTCAGATATCTCGTCCCTCAGAAATCAGCCTCAAACCTTGGTAAGCCCGAGGAGGGGTTTAATGTCCCAGCGCAAACCTGCACGGAGGCTTTTCTGCCTCTGTGGGACCGGGGCAGGGCAGGGTTACCCCATCTCCGATAATATTCCTCATCGCTTTGTTTTCCTCTCCCCCCCCCCCCCCCCCCCCCGCCCACTCTCGCTATACCACACTGCACAC